TGCACACACACATAAGCATGAATAAATGTATACACAGTTTCATGTAAGATTCTTTAGGGTTTGAATGTTATGGTCATTTTTTATTGATTATTGATTATCTTGCTTTCAGGTTTCCAGACATACCATCAATCAAACTAAGAATGCCAAATCTTCATTTCTTACCAGTTAATATATCAAGAAGGGATAATCCAACCGTTGTTAAGGTACAACTTTATCTGTTTAAGACCTGACTTGTAAAAACTAACAGAAACCTAAAATGAACTAAATGATTTAATGAAATGATCTATTAATAAGCAAATGTATATGTATTTGGATCCTACAGACTGTTGACCAGAGTAACATACTCTAGCTCATCCTTGTAAAGTAGACAGTTGCACTTTTGATGGGCATTCCTTTGTAATTTCACAACAGTAATCCGCAATTTGTGCATTCAGATATATCTCTACTTGACAAGGGTAGACCAAAGTATGGTACCCTAGTCAATGGTCCCGGGGATCCATTCTCAATGTAAATGGCACCACATTGATTTCATGATGGACACAAGTAGGTAGAGAAAATAAAAATCCTGGAAGATCTGATGGGAATTTACCAATTTTCTATCATTATTTTTCCCAGATGCTTCAAATTGGATAACTTTATTGTTTCCAATACTTCGGTTTAAAGTGTCAATGCTGGATCATTATGTATTCATTCCATTGGGCAAAATGCACAGACAACACAATTGTAAGGACAAAAATATGAATAAAGAATCTGGCTAGAAATATAGTAACAGAAATGGGTATTAATTAATGAAGATAACTGTCATAAAATATACCTAATCATGGGGATAATTTTGGATATATAAATTAGAAAACCATGCTTAGGAAATATTGAAAGGTGTAGCTATTCCAATCTAAGAAATCCAGATTTGGGGAAATTTAGGAAGGGGAGAAAAAAATTCCTTTATGTTGGATTTTCCTTAGATTACCATTGGTATTGATAATTTTTGTTTTTGTTGCAGATTGAAGATGATGTTTATATACACACAGATGAACCGCATGGAACAATTGAAGCAAGTTTGAGCCGCTCCTGGTCCAGTATGTAGAAGCTAGTATGAGTAGTATCAGTGGCTTGTGCCATAACAAGCCTGATACCTTCTCATTTCTGTGTATTTGCTTCAGTTACAAAACCCACCACCCCTTCTCTTTAGTTAATTCTGTTTCCGTCTTTTCAACTAGGACTTCATTTATTCTTACACTACAAATATGACTTTGTATAAAGACTCTAGAAGATGAGGGTACTCAATAAAGGTGGAGCTTTTATGTGAATGTGGGAGGGTTATGCTTTTGTTCTGATTAAATTTCTCTTAATTTACTTAATGTGATTAAAAATCAAGTAACCCATTAGATAGCAATTAGCTGGTCAATCAACATTAAGGATTTGCATTTCAGTAAGCTCTTTTCACTACCATAGCCTACATATCTCTTGCGTGACCATATTGATTGGGATTGAGGACTTGAAGATTTTCTTTCTAGGGACCTTTGGGAGTTTGATGGCAACAAAATTGTTCTTGGTTTGGGCTCTTTGATGCATCTTTTGTTAAACAAGTGGTCAGATCAGATAAGATTAGGCACCAATAATTTAGCAGGTTGAGACTGATTCTCTCATGTGGAGACTGGAGATATTGTTTGAGAAATCACTAAGAGTGAACCACCATCTCCAAGGGTTAGAGATCTGCTTGGTTTCCGGGGAAAAAAATTATGTGGCATGTATCTCAGGATAGTCAATCAGGACCAGCATTTGGTATGCCCTTTTACTCCCATGTTCAAAGATACTCATGCAAACAACTTTTGTGTCAAGTAGTCAAAAAATGCTAATGAACACATTGCATGTATGAAAAACAGACTATCTATGTGTGCTTGTGTATACTCCATATGAAAAAAAAAATGTTTGATTCTCATTAAAAAACATATTTTCCAGATGAATAAGCTCTCCGCTCAAGCATATTACAAGATAAAGAGGGGCTATTTTATATAAGAAAAAGATATAAAGAAATGTAGGATTATGCAAATGTTCAATCTTGGGGTCGGGCTTTGGGCTTTGCATAGGCACTCTGTACGACAAATAGAATACCCATCGGTAAGAATGAATTTAGATGAACACTCTGTTTTTTTTTTCAATAATTAAGGACAAAACATAGATTAGAAATAAAAGACTAAAGAAACAAGCATATGCAAAGCTAAATCATTATGAATGAATTAGCTTTGCATGCAAACTAAATTTTCCCTCCACCCCGATGCCAGAGAGAACTTCACGCGATCATCCACCTATGCCATTCCAGTTTCTTCTGGATGGCTTCCCCATCTTCTCTTGCAAAAAATCAGTAGTTTCTCCACAGAGGTTTATGTGGTTGGTTTCTTGTTATCCTCTATACATTCTTGTAAAGTATGAAACTGATATAAAGAAATATAGGATTATGCAAATGTTCAGAAAGTAGAAATCTTATAGTGGATTGGCTCCAAGGTTCAAAGAATGCCCATACCAAACAACTTTTGCAAATGAGTCTACATCCTAACAAGCACATCAACATATATGATGGGCAAGTTACACTATAGTAGCATAAATGAATGTAAAACCAATCCCATGACAGCAAGAACCTTTCCCCCAAATTTGTGTCAAAATGGGTTTGCCAATAACAATAATAACAAGTAAATAATTCAGCCAAGTAACAAAAAAACAGATAACAATCACCACACAATAGCACACCAGATTTTTTACGTGAAAAACCCCAAAATCGGGGAAAAACCACGGGGCCTATGGTCCGTAAAAGTCTTCCACTAACTTAGAAATTAATGGGTACAAAAGTATTTTCTAGTTGCAACTAGAGGTTTACAAACATCAAGGAAATAATCCTCGACTCACAAGAACAACATTAACATCACCAAATGCATGGTGGATACAATACAAACAGAAGCTTAGATCTCACCAAGTTGTTGTAAATCTGAACTAATAAGTAGAGATAGGAAGAATAATCACCAAATCTGAATTGGAGTGAGATTCTTAACTCTAGCACTTAATATCATCAAGAACAGGCTTGGAAGGCACCTCCGAACTTGATCTTGAATGGAATAAGAGTCAGCTTTTTCTTTTTCACAAAACTCAAAAGAACCAGGAAAAAACCTTTCGGTTCTGAGTTTTTTTTTCTTCGTTTTTCTCAATCAGGTGGTTACGAACTTGATGTCAAAAACTGAAAGGTGGAAGCCTTTTTTTCCTTCCACTATCCGACTCCTTTTTGGGAGCAAATGAAGGTGGGGTGGGCCCCTCCATATGGGCTGGACCCACACCCAACAATATATGAGAAAGCAAAACATCATGATCCTCCAGATAAATCAGATATGGAGGAATATCATGCAAACTAGACTCCAAAGCCATATGCATTAGGAACCCATTGTTGGTTATGCATTGCAAGACTATGGAAGGAAAAGTATTTCTAACAAATATGTGTTCGAGTTTCACATACCAGCGGTGAAGAACTAGGACGAAGGAGAGCTTCGGTGGAGCACAACAAAGGTCTTTGGCTATGGAGACCTTCGGCGGAGCACAACAGAGGTCTTTGATGGTGGAGACCTTTGACGGAGCACAACAGATATCTTTGGTGGTGGAGACCTTCGATAGAGCACAATGGGGATATTCGGCAGTGAAGACGTTCAACCATAAAAAGATGTAGGGTTTGGAGAATGTGCGTGAAGCATCATATCAAAAACAAATCGTGAACCGACTCCATCCATGATAAAATGCCGTCGAAGCTAAATTGGGGTATGAATAGGGCTGGTCCACAAGATAGTATGGACCTGTCCTGTTCATAGCAAACCGAACAATGAATTCATCCCATGGCATGGATCAAAACGGCCCATCCACGAGATAAACACACTACCGAATATTCTCTTAGTCGGTCCTTATGTCAGGCCCTCAGCTCGAGACACCTTCACTGTCTTAACCCCTCGATCAGCGAATGGTTAGAAGGGAGAAGCATGTTGTCCAATGGTTAAAAGCGTAAAAAGGAAACCATCGTCCAGTGGTTGAAAAACATGTTGTAATCCAATGGTTATAAACATATTGTCCAATGATTAAAAGTATGAAAAGGAAGTAATTGTCCAATGATTAAAAAGCATGTTGTGATCTAATGGTTAAAAGGAAGCGATCGCACACTCAAAACCCCGTTGCACGCTCAAGATCCTGCTCGCACAGGTTCATGTAGGTTTCATTTCACGAACGGAGGGTTCATAACCCTTTGCTTTTAGGTTAATATATAGAGAGAGATATTTTATTTTCTCTCCAAGGGCTAACACAACCGGAGTAGTTAATAATTCTACGCAACAACCAACCTTACCGACGCCGGGGTCTCAAATGTAAAAAGATGGTTTTTTTTGGCTACGTTTGTTTGTGATACAAATGCTGAATCGGAGTATTTATATACTCTGTTTACGATTTGTAAGCATTTGTTTGATGTGTAAAAAGGTAATGATTATCAGAGCAAAAATGCATTTTCTAACACTTTTATACTCTGAAAAAAGTATTAATGTATCTATTTTTTTGATACAATTTTGTGTTCTCTTGATAATTAACTTTTTGACTAAAGTTAAGTCATTAAAACAATTTTGTGTTCTTTTGCACCAATTTTAAACAAACAAAATGAATACAAAAATGGTTTAAAATGATTTATATTCATGAATCAAAAAAAGATAAATATATAATGTATATATTTGCATTTGCATTTGCATTGCAACCAAACGCAGCCCAAAGGCCAAATCAGTAGAGAGTAGACCCGCGAGGAAGATTTGCCAACGACGTTACATTGTTGGGAGAAGTACCAATCAGCCCGGATCAGAATTTTTTAGGCAAAGTATAAAGGGGAATGCATACCGTGAATTGATGGATAGGATGTGGTTTATAGGGGGGAGAGGGTTAATTGTAGTTCTCCGTACATTTTTTCACCCAAGTATCAAAAACAAAACAGTCGAGATGGCAAGATTATGGGGCCTCCAGCCGTCCAGGCGTCCACGCATCCTGCGTCAAGAACAACGATGGACTCGGTTTTGGTTTTATAGGCCATTCCTTGAGCGTAACTTCTCTCCCTTTCTACATCTCTTGGTGCTGCGCGTCTGCTTCGCTGCCTGCTGTGTGACAACTTTACACAATCCCGGGGAGGCGGGGACACATCAAAAGGATTCCCCTTTCTTACTTTCTTTCCCCCTCCCACAGTCCCACCTCTTCTTCCACCACCACCATCCCCACTCCACCACTCAACCTTCTTCACATTTTCGAAAACCCTAGTCAGAATCCTTACCAGTCACCGCTAATCGACCCCCCTCAAATTTTCTGCAACGGAAAGGATCAGGGGCAGGCTAGAAGAAAAATAACAACAAGGACAAAAAAGATCTTCGAAATTCTTGTTCATTCTCTCCTCTTAGAGGAAAAAAAAGCAAGGAAAAAGAGATAAGTTTAACTTTTGAGCTTCCTTCTCTCCATTCCTGTTCAATCTATTCGAATTTGATCAGTTTTGGAAACAAGAGCGAACCCTTCAAAATTCGAGTTCCCTAGAATTGTTCTATTCTGTGACCTCTTTAACTTCTGCGCTACTATGTTGTTTTTTATTTCTTTTTTTATGATCATACAGAGATTGCAAATGCCTTCAAAAACTAGGTTTTGAAAATTTTCAAGGACCAGTTTCTTTATTTTTTTCTTTAGTCGTTCAAGGAGAAGGGGGTTTAGTTTAGACAAAAAAAAAATTAAGGGGGAAATGGGAAATATTGGAAGCAGTAGCGGTGGTGGTTATAATAGTAGGCGAAGACATGGGAATCATCACAGCCACCCACCACCCCATCCTCCCCAACCTCCTCAGCCTGAAATCACCGGAAACCGCTACGTTTTCGCCGCAGCAACCCCTTACCCTCCCCAATACCCCAACTACAACCAGCCTCAGTACCATCAGTACCCCGGCTATTACCCTCCGCCACCATCGACGATGCCGATCCCATTGCCCGCTCCGTATGATCACCACCATCGTGACGGTGGCGGTGGCGGTGGTCCCCATGCCGATCCTGTTCATGCAAATTGGGCCGCTGGGCATTATCGCTGTGGGAATGATCTCCATCCCCCCACCCCCTATGTTGAGCACCAGAAGGCCGTTACCATTCGTAACGATGTCAATCTCAAGAAGGAGACGCTGAGGGTTGAGCCAGACGAGCAGAACCCTGGGCGCTTCCTCGTAGCTTTCACCTTTGATGCCACTGTCCCGGGAAGGTATTCTGTTGTCTGAATTTCTTCAATTCCCTTACAATTACATACACTTCATTCCATTTTTCTTTTGTTGATGTATAGAATCTAGAATGTTTATGAGGCACTAGGGCTGCAAGTTACTAGCTCCTGTCCCAATTCTCTAATGAGTTTTTATGCCGTGAATTTAATGGTTGCAATTTGCTTGAAGTACGTAGATTTTGTTGATAAAGATATGTTGGTGACGTTGTGATTGTTGTAGTTTAATTTTATTGTGTGTTGTATATGATTTTTCAACTTTCTGTCTTCCCTTATGTGGGCCTTCTTATTTGGTCTCTGAAGGACTTATACTGAAGTCAGCTATAAATTACCAGTAAGAAAGTTACTGATCAATAGGTGTTCCTCATTGTTGAGAATCTTGAAGCTTCTGTGGAATTGTCTACCAAGTTCTTGACTTTCAAGTCTATGTCATCAGACCTGAGAGGATCGTTTTCTCTTTATTTATTGCATTCCTTTCTTTTTCTCCCCTTTTCCTTTTTTTTCCTTCTTTTATTTTTCCTGTATTTTGTTTATTTTTGCATATGTTGTTTATTTATTTATTTTTTATTTTTTGTGGAATTGCTGAGGATGTTCTTGACTTTCAAGTATCTGTCATCAGAGAGGGTAATTTTCTCTTTATTTCTTGCATTCCTTTCCTTTTCATTTATTATTTTCTTGTATTTTGTTTCTTTTTCTGTAAAAATATTTTTAAAAACTATTTATTTTGACTTGTATATTATGTATGCACCATGACCTGCAACTGCTGCCTGGGACACTTAAATTAAAGTTAATGTGCTCCTATGCATATGCCCTGTTCCATATCCTTCTCTTTCCAGCCAGCCATAGAACTTATTCTATTGAAAAAAAAAAGATTATTCCCCAAGAGGAAACTAAAAGCTGCAAAACCTTAACTCAACTAAGCCTTGTCCTAGCTCTATGCGATCAGCTACATGAATCCTATTTACCACTCCACTTTGTTCAGTGCCATATCCAATTATCCACTGTTAAGTTGTGGGCCCTTAAATTATTTCTTGCTACTTGAATCCATGTCCTTTTATCTTCAACCTGTAACAGATTACTTCTTCTTACTACTGTTGTAGCAAGTCCTATTTGCACGTGACCAAACCATCTTAGTCTGCTTTCCCTCATTTTATCACCTATTGATGCTACTCCTAGGTTCATGTGAATTAGTTCATTTCTTTTGACATGTTGTTTATTGACTGCCCAACATTCAGCTCCATACAATATTACTGGCCTTATAACCCTGTTATAAAATTGTTAATTTAGCCTTAGTGGTATCCTCCTACTATAGAGGACTTTGGATTCACCCCTCCATTTTGCCCATCCTACTCTAATTTTGTGGGTGAGGGTGGGCGGTGGGCCTTGGCGCAATGGTTTGGTTGCTCCATTGCGACCAGGATGGCCAGGGTTCAAATCTTGGAAACAACCTCTCTGTAGATGCAGGGGTAAGGCTGTGTACATCTGTCCCTCCCCAGACCCTGCATTGGTGGGAGCCTCGTGCACTGGGCTGCCCTTTTACTCTAATTTTGTGGGTGACGCCCTCCTCAATACCCATGTTATTGGATTATCAAAAAGATCACATTGAGATACCTCTCAGTCTCCAATACCAAGTATACCCTGATTTGACTCCTGTTATTATTAAATTCACAAATCCTAAATTCGTTTAATAAACAAGTTGTTTTGTGTTTTTCTTCATTGCTTCTATGTTGTTATTTTGAGAACTGGTGTCAGATATTAATATCCAAAGTTACCAATATAATTACATTATTAAAAATTTTTCAAAGTTACATTTTATAAAATAAAACAAAAAGAACCCCCAGAAAAGAGATACAACTATTTAAAGTTACATTTTATAAAAATTGGGATTGTAATTTTACAGAACAACTCCTATTGTATTTTCTGAGGTTAAGTGTCTGAAAACCAACTTGAATTATAAGAAAGCATCTTTAAACCTGGTTGTTTGAATGGCTTTAGGTCCCTCATTAGCTAGTTTAAAAAGGATAGTCATTTATTGATTATTAGCTTCCATTTTTCCAATAGGCATATATGAAAACCTACACGCTTAGTCCTTTTGAGAAAGAGCTATGGCTTTTCATTCTCATTCGGGTGTAGATATTAATGTGCCCTTTTACGGGTTCTCCCAACATCATTGTAAGTGGTCTTTCCTTGTTTTGGGTACTTTGAGCATGTCTGGTATCTAAAGTTACCACTTCTGTTTCTTTAAACCCTCTTTGCCAATTCAAAGAGAAAATTATTGAATTAAGGGAAACCCTGCATGTCTTAAAATGCTTCTGGTGGCTTGGCTAGGACCCAGCTTCTGTACTGCATTATTAACTTCATTTGGTTTAAATCCTGTTTCTAGGATAAGCTGAAGATAGAATTGATCAAACTTCAATTCTTCAATGCATCCGTTTGATTCCATTGGAGCCATCTCTTCTAGTTCCATTTGTTATGGGAATTTTCAATTTTGTGAACTGTTTTTCACAAAGCACCTACTTGCTAGATCTATTTGTGGATTGCTTTAAAGATTTAGGTTATAACCATGGGTTAGCTTATTTAGTTATGGCCTATGAAAATGTATACAGCATGGAGATTTGAAATTTCTTTTGATACTTGTGAGGATATGAAATTTTCACAAATGATAATTGTGCACCCCCTTCTTGTGCCTGTTTGGAGAATGCAAATATCCAATATAGCACTGTACCATCAATTTTGGATCTCTGTGACCAACACTAATTGATTAGCACTGTACCATGGACAAAAAATAATAAAAAAGGGAATTACTGAATTCTCATTCCAGCTATTATTGATCTTGCGAAGTGTGGACTGGTGGACTTGGTATGGACCTAACCTCTGGCATTTCTTGAACAAAGTGGCTTCTCTCAGACTCAAACTTGTGTTTCTCCAATTAATAATTCCTCTTTACAAGAATAGGAACATGGAGAAACAGAGTATACACAAAACTCAAATCTACTGGTTTGTTTGCCTAAGTACAACCTCTTTTACTGAACCCATGATCACCAAATGCCAGTGGTTCACTTGGGTTATCCAACACAATCATAGGAGTAGGGGATGAGAGAGGGAGAGAGGACTCAAAACCCTCATCACTGTTTTGGTCACTCAAATACCACTCTTTTACGGAACTCGTGATTTATATGTTAGTCAGTAGCTTGACAATTGATCAAATAGAACATATAGTATCTAATAAAACTAGATCTAATCTACATATAATACAGATGAGAAAGTAAAAAATTTTGTCCCTTAAAGGCTTAAACCTAAAACTCTCAACCAATTTTACCTTACAAATTCTATGCAGTTGTGTAGATGCATATAAATATAATCAGTTATGTACTTGCAAATTGGGGATGTTAATGGCGCAGGCAGGCTAATCGGGTAACNCCCCCCCCCACCCTGTCCCCATTGGATAGGATTTTCTTCAGTTACACTTGAATGTTGGTAATTAGTATGGGTAGAGGGTTCGCCTACCTGACTAGCTATGGTAAAGAGTTTATTTTTCAATTACTCTGTTATAGGGTCTGAAGGTAAATGCTAGAGAAATTAGAAACTTTGATGGATGTAGAGCGTTTGATTTTGAATCTTGAAGTAAGTTTCACTCACCAAAATGGGCCACAAATTCTCATCTGCAAAAAACTAAATTAACTTTAATAAGTTATAAAGAGTCACTATCTAAAATTCATATCACAAAATCAAGATAGTTTGGGTTTTATTTATCATTTAAATTTGTTGAATCATCAGTACAGTCTGAACCGGTGTAAACATTTTCTGTTGGGTTCAAATTTTACTTAGCATCTCAAGGCCCTAGTTCCATGACTCAGACTCACCATCTTTCTCCTTTTTGAAACATTGATTTACTTTTAACAGCATCCTTATCATGTTGATATTAGATCTAGTGTTGGTAGCGGTGTGAGGCAGTCCTAGTTATTTTGGCCTTCTTAGGTGATGCAATGGCTAGCCAGTCCTTAGGTGCTGACTGGTTGACCAGAATAAAAGAGATATTGGAAGTTTAAGATACTATTTTTTCAAAAAAAGTTGGAAGTTTAAGATATTGGTGCAATTCAATATCTTTGTTAATAAAAACTAGAAATATACCATGAACGATATGACAATGAACATTTCTTATACAGTCGGTTTTGCAAACACAAAAAGAAAGGTTAGATGGTCTGAGATAGAACTACATTTTTCATTTCCAAACTAAATGTCAATATGCCATCATTAGTGCTTAAAGCATTCCAAATGCAAATATCACATAAAGGCACATGTTATTGCTATTTGTAAGTTTGTAACAGTTGTATTCAAATAACAATTTAGATGCTTAGTCATCTAACATAAAGGCCTAAGATCCAAATTTGGGTTGTCTACTTGTTTATTATGCACAAGAATCAAATGCCCTTTATTGAGTTTCACTGCATTTTTAGGGAGAAGTGATTCAGGACATTTTGGTCATCTGCTGACTTTATTTTTATAAATAATAGGCCTTTTTTTAACCTCAGGATTACCAAAGAAATCAATCTGAAGTCGGATTATAAACACAAAATATGAAATGCACTGGTGATAGATGCAAATATCTTCAATTATAGGAATTTCCCAAAACATTTTCTAACCTAAGGGGTCTTAAACTTTGTCTTGTTCTACATCTCTGGTGCTAGGGTGCCCTGTAAGACCCTTCATTTTTTTATGCATTCTTTGCTTTTTCTAATGTTAACTTGAAATGTATGACATTTTAGCTGTAAAATGATTTGCAAGGGGTGATAGATGTAAATATCTCAAATTAAAGGAGGTTCCCAAGACTTCTTATCTAGCCTGAACTTTAGCCATGTTCTACATCTCAAGTTCCAGGGCCTGCAAAGGCCCTTCATATTTTTATTCATTCTCTGGTTTGTTATGATGTTCACCTTGAAATATATGGCATATTAGCTGTAAAATGATTTCCACCTAATTTCTTTGAAGTTTCACATATTTGATGTTTTTGTTCTTTTTTCTACAAGCAGTATCACTATAATTTTTTTTGCAAAAGAAGGTGCAGACTGTAACCTGTCACCAGTTAAAGAAAACCTGATTCCACCAGTCACAGTATCTTTCCAACAAGGTCTTGGGCAGAAGTTCAGGCAACCTCCGGGAACCGGAATTGACTTCTCAATGTTTAAGGAAGCCGAGTTGATGAAAGAGGATAATATGGAAGTGTATCCCCTTGCTGTGAAGGCAGAGGCATGTCCAGTGGATTCAAGCAGAACGGAGACAGGAAATCAAATGCCAGGATCCGCGAATTCTCAGATAACTCAGGCGGTATTTGAGAAGGAGAAAGGTGAATACCAAGTGAGAGTGGTGAAACAAATTCTATGGGTGAATGGAATGAGGTACGAGCTGCAAGAGATTTATGGGATTGGAAATTCCGTTGATGGTGAGTTTGATGGGAATGACCCGGGAAAAGAATGTGTCATCTGCCTGTCAGAACCTCGTGATACTACTGTGCTTCCCTGCCGCCATATGGTAAATGCATGTGTTAGCCTTTTCAGTTTAGTGTTAGGAAAAAAAAAACTCCTTTTATTGTCCAAAATTGATCACAATTGGATCATCCTATGCTGTTTAGATTGCCATGGGAATTGGGAATCTACAAGCAAATCTCTTCGCACACTGTCAAAGCATGGGATTCTAGCAGCACATTGGGAACATCTCATGAATATAACACATGTATTGGAGATGTTCCCAATATGCGGCTGGATGATATGTGCATTATGACACTAGCTGACCATCTAGGTTGTATTGGGTACCGATGCTGTTTCTACCTGAAACGTTTTGGATTGATCAGGTGAAAAATGTGCTTCAGGGTCAGGGCAATGGATGCCCAGATCTGCTCCTAACGGAAACGCTTCCAACATGATTATATCCACACGTCAATGTGTGTGGATATGGATCATGTTGGAAGTTCTTTTGTCAGGAGCACATCCGTACTCCAGCAATGGTACCAAACACCACCCTAGTTAGTCTGGTGTGAGCACCCATGTGGCCATGTTACAAGTGTGATTTGTGGACAGAACCAGATATTCATTTTGTATGGCACAGCACAAGCAGCCATATCTTTGCTATAATACTACACACACACGAATGAAATATATTAAAATTTAAAAGTTTAAAACGGAATTGACATCTGAATGGTTTTTTAGGTGTTTGGCATCGGTGCTGGGAACATCGCACCGTTTTCGAACCAGTGCTGCCACATAATTGTTTTTTAAGAAAACAGCACTGGTTTTGGCAGTAACATTTTCAACATTAATCTATATTATCCAACATCTAAGACGATGGTACATTATTGCACCTTTGGTCCAGATTACGCTTTCTTGATTTTCAAGGTGTGGTTGGGAGCAACAATTTTTCTAGAAAAACAGTATCAAACAAGAGGGCCTTGTTTGAAGCACTACTTTCTCTTATGTGGCACTTGGCGCCACTCTGAAACATTGCCTTTGTTTTTGTTTTTGGTTATTTTGTCCCTTTTTATCCAAATTCCAAAATATTGTAAATGATTCTAAAATTGTGGCACGGTTGGATTTGTCTGCAGTGCATGTGCAGTGGATGTGCGAAAGTTCTGAGGTTTCAGACAAACCGATGTCCAATTTGCAGGCAACCAGTTGAAAGGCTTTTGGAGATCAAGATCAGTAATAATAATAATAATAATAATAATAGATCCGAAGACTGAAGATTGACATGACAATTGACAGATATAGTGAGTGCACAGCGTTGTAAATCCTTTATTATGTTTTCTGATTCAACTTTCAACCTCTCCCTCCCTCCACCGTTTCATCATCCCTGAGGCCTTGACTGGAATAATCTGAAAAGAAGAGGTGTGAGATATAGTTATATGATACTGTTCCATGTGGAGTGGGGCAGAAGCCGAACAACTCTGTACCTAATTATAAGTATTTTATTAAACAGGTAGTAGCCATGTTGATCACGAATTTGTCACAATCATTTGCAAATATGATCATGGTGGGGAATGCATTCCAGTTATAAATTATAATCTCGACCTACCAAATTATTGTCTAGTAGCTTATACTTGTTCCTCAATGAACTAACACTGGATTTGAAGATGAAAATTATCATAAGGCATAAATATTTGAAGGAAGAATGTATGATGGTGGAAGGACGTGATACCGGAAAAGCTTTGACGAATCAACCCCTAAAGTCTAAAGATTTTACTTGGACGATGCCAGTTGTTTGGTTATTACTTTTAAGCCTGAAATGAGAATGATGCCAAACCAAATACAACCTAAATACTGCTGGTTTAGTCAATGAACCGTTTAACGGTTAACAATTCACCTATTTGCTGATTAGTTTTATGCTATTTTCCTTTTTCAACTTTCTATTTATTATTGACTTGATGTCATGGGGTTAACCTATTAATTTGGATGGTTGAGCCAGTGATTCATTTACCTGGACGAAAAAACAATCGTCTTTTGGGCTGGATTTTAAAACACTATTTATTTTAACATGTGGGCAAATGTAAACCATCATAGATTATGTCAAACACCCACCTAGTGTACATGTTGGGTTTTTTTTTTTCTTTGGGTAAATACAATTATACAAAGACCGCCGATGTGCTATGGGGTCAGTGAAAATTACTCCCTTGGACCTAGGGGTGGATTCGAATCGAGCCGAGCCGAATAGTACCAGGCTCGAGCTCGGCTCGAGATTGTTCTACAAGGCTCAAACTCGAGCTTGGCTTGGCTCGGCTCGAGTTCGATTTTGAGAAAAAATATTTTATAAAAATAAAAAATTATATATAAACTATTTTTTATTTGATATTTAAAAAAGTAAGAATTATAATAATTAATAATTATAATATTTTTATTATATTATATATATATATATATATTCGAGGTCGTTTAATAATCGAGCCAATGAATTGGGCTCGAGCTCGAGCTTGAGCTCGGTTGAAACCGAGTCGAGCCAAGCTCGAGTAGATCGTGAAAAGCTCGGCTCGTTGCCACCCCTACTTGGACCTTCATTTGCGGTAAAAACCCCTCTTGGGTTAATGACAATTATCCCCCTGAATTTTAATTTGCGGCCAAGACCCCCTGAATTTTTTACTTTATGACAAATATCCCCTTTGTTAGAGTTATGTTAACTCCAAAAAAGATTCTCATTCAGTTTAAAATTTTTAAATCCCCAAAACTAGTCTTTTCTTATTTATTTGTATGATGTATGATTCAATTAGTTTTTAAAATATAATATTGAAGTTTCCTTGGTTGCTCTAATAAATCCTTGCAGATTTTTCATTGGATTCAATATTCAAATGAAATGGTAGAGGCTTCTTTGTGATAGATATAAATTTAAGGTTTTATTTGGTTTTTCTTAATTTATTAAAGAAATGAGTGGATAACTTTTATATTTTAAGATGAATAGAGACATACATGTTAATGAAATGAAACTAGAATTTAAAGAAACTTGTGTTTTCTATGTTAATGAAATGACTCTTGATATTTTAGTTGGTTTCATTGGGAGAAAATGGAGGTATTTTTGGGTCAATTAGGATTTAAGAGAGAAGGGGGTTGAAAAAGAAAATAAGGAAAGTTCATATGAATATTTTAGTAATTTAATGCATTATTTGTCTCAAAGTGAAAGTTAAGAAGGGTTTTTTGTCGCTGACCCCATAGTAGAGGCCAGAGGGTAGAGGAGACGGACGTTAGTTAATCCTGTTAGCATCCAATGTGTCTCAATAAAAGCCAAAAAAAAAAAACTGATTTCCCGCTCTCTTCCTCTCTTGACTTTCCGTATCTCTATCTCTCTCATCTCTCTCCCGTAGAAGTAGAAAGCCACTCGAGAGTCGAGAGGGCTGTTTTCTACTTCAACGAGGCCCTGCAACTGCTTCTTACTAGCAACAACACGGCCACCTCCCCTCCTCCAAGGAACTCCACCCACTTTGATATTGTTGTCAAGATTGGCGCCTACAAGGCTACAAGCTAGGCCTTCTCCGAGAATTCACCCTTCTACACTTGCAACCAAGCCCTTCTTGAAGCGCTTGCAAGCTTTGATCAAACCTGATGTAACCGTTTCTGGTCACGTACCAATTTTTTGTGATGTATAAATTTTTTTGGCTAAGTACCTTGTTATTTGACCCGATGGTGACGTGCCTTGGTGATGAGCTACTTGGTGGCGAATTCCCTGGTGGAGAACTACCTGGTGGCGAGCTCCTTGGTGGAGAGCTACTTGGTGACGAACTGCTTGGTGGCAAACTCCCTGGTGGTGAGCTCCCTGGTGGCGAACTGCTTGGTGGCGAGCTCCCTGGTGGTGAACTGCCTGGTGGCGAGCTCCTTGGTGGAGAAACTACTTGGTGGCGAACTCCCTGGTGGTGAACTGCCTGGGGGAGAACTGCCTGGTGGCGAACTCCCTGATGATGAACTGCCTGGTGACGGATTGCCTGGTGGCGAACTCCCTGGGGGAGAACTGCCTAGTGGCGAACTCCCTGGTGGCGAACTGCTTGGTGGCGAACTACCTGGTGGAGAACTACCTGGGGGAGAACTGCCTGGTGGACTCGTCATTTGACCTGCTCC